ATATATATATATATATATATATATATATATATATATATATATATATATATATATATATATATATATATATATATATATATATATATATATATATATATATATATATATATATATATATATATACAAAATATAAGCTGACTAGTTTTTTGGTCTAACACTTCGAATAATTTGGTCAAAAAGTAGTAGTTTGCATATGGTGACTCAAAATAATGCTGCAGGCTGACAACATTGAAATTGCATACTCATTTGAAACAGGACGGAAAATAACTATGGACCAAGAAGGATTGAGGAATGCTGTCGCTTATACAGTATAAAACGAATATTGAAAGGATCACAAATGATCCTAATATTCTGCAGCCATTGTTGTTACCTGCTGAAATTACTTATTATTGTGTACCGGACGAGAAATTTTCGAAATTTTATTAATGGAGGAAATGGAAACACTCTCTATGTACATTAAATGCAGCATAAAATTATTTGTACAAAGCACCCAGCATTTCAATCATTAAATTCAAGCAAGTTTGTACATCCAAGTGAAATTTAGAATTAGATGACTAAACACGAATTATCTACAGAAAATGGCCAAAACTGGAACTTTTCCATAATTCTATACTATTTCAATAGTTTGCAAATGAAATGCAGACCTTATTGGAAATCAAAATTGTCTTCCTCTGAAATGGTTATAACTAAGATTATAATGAGCTGGAAATAAAACTACCAATGATAAATTAACTCCTCGGTGTTCGAGATAAGCTAGGAAAGTGTCATTCGTAACAATGTGATTATGTAGGAGTTGTAGAGTTGCAGACCCATTAACAAATATTAAGACATTTCTTTTTTAAATTCCTCAAATAAAAACTTTAAAGTAGGCGAATATGCAGGCGGTGGTATGTATCCGATCATTTGAGAATCCTGAATTAAGTAAGTTCCGTATTCCGAACCCATTTGTAAGAGAGAAACACAGAATATTAACCGTCGTTTGTCAGGCTGTTGGTGACACAGACCGTCCAGTGTAGCTGGCTGTCTCTTAGTTTGCTTGAAGTTTTCAGAAATATGTCTCATGTTGTTTCGACACAAACCAGCTGTAGCATCGTAGCAGAGATAGATCTTCTAGGATTCAAATACTGGAAAAACAAATCACCTGATATGGTTTGCATGCATTTAACGTTAAGCAACATGAAAGGAAAGTCAAGTACTACACAAAAGAAGCTAAGAAAGCTTTCGACTATTCGAAACATGATTTGTTCCATTGTATGGCCTGATTGCTGTGTAGAAGTTGACTAAGAAGTCTCGGACATTTTTTCTGCTGAACATTCCGTCTGAATGGCATACTGAGCAGAGAAAAGTTGGTGGAAACTGTCGCTTTTCAAATTGTGGATCTTCCGTTGCTTTATCTCCGTGCAGTCGGGCATTAACAATGTTATGAGCACGCCAAAGGTAGAACATCATATCGTAAGTATTTTGCACCTGTAGCAACAGCATTCTTTAATTTAATTGATGGAATTTGAAGTTCGACGTAAAATGTAAGCAACAACATCTTTTAATTAGCAACAGCATTTTTTAATTTAATTGGTAAAATTTGAAGTTCGAATTTGAATTTTTGAAGTAAAATCCGTTATTTTAGGATATGGCGACGTGCAACTTGCTTAGGAGTTGCTCGAAGTAAAAGATCGAACGGATTCATAGAATGTGAAAAGAAAGAAAACTCAAGTGACCAGCTAATCTCACCACTACTGAAATCATTCAAAAGTTTCCTAAGCCGGTTCTCTTTATTTATCATATTTTTTGAGTAATCTTTGTTGTCTTTCAAATTTGCTCTTCCCGAAACAATATGATAAAAAGATACCCGACGTTTAGTTAAGGGATAGAGAGTGGTTGTCATGTGCAAAAAATGTCGTCGACAATCCAGACAACCAAAGAAGTTGGCTACCCAACCACGTATACTGAACAGCACACTGATCGGTGATTGTAGTCCTTGCACGAAAGCATTAACAGTGATTGCGTGAAATGTTGTCCATAGACCACAAGTATAGCCTCGATATCCTAATGCTGTACCTTTACAGTGCTCCCAGGAAGCATTCGTCGGGAACGGATAGCCATACACTCGCTGGAAATTTTCACTTTTATTATAACTTTTAAAAATTGAAATTTTTTAAAAGTCTTCAGGAATCTCTTACAAAAAAAAAAAAAAAAATGCAATATTTCTACCAATCTCTTGAATAAATAAATATATTTAACAATTACTTCAATATTCTGGAATTGATTTCGCCATACAGCCGTCGAAATTGTACGCTTTCCCCTGTGTGCTTCTAGAAAATGTCGAAGATGCAAAAAGACTGATTTGGCTCGTGTGCTTTGCCTCAAGGCCTAAAAAAACTCTACAGTAAGAAAAGTAATTGAAGATAATTTGTAACGATATAACTGGCATGCATCCATCAAAAACTACCATAATATTTAGCAGCATTGTCACATAACGGAGAGATTTACGAATAATCAGTGATGATTATCGTGACCGTTTTTATCATAAAATGTATACAGGAACTTGTAGAAAACGAAGAGGGAGATGAAACAAAAATTTGAGGAAAAGAAAAATTTTTTAAGATGAAGGGGAAATGGACTCGATTATCAATTTAAAAAGATGACCGTAAGCTTCGAAACTTTTTTTTTTCTAAATTAATTTCAAAAAGCATGCATCACTGAACAGATGGAGGGAGAACAGAGAAGATGAAGTTTGATTTAAGACCGGATTTCATCGTTCTGATTCAAATTTCAGGCTGACAAGTAGACCTAATCCAGCTTACTGCCGACTACTGTTTGCAAAATAAAAAATAATTCCTTTTGCACTTGCGAACGTTAGGTGTAAATGTCAAGATGACGCAGGAAAAGTATCTTATCTATAGAAGAAGAAAAGAGCTAGTAGCTAGCACTAAGAAAGAGGACTAGCATAAATCACAAACACCACCTGTCATACCGACATCGGCTATAGAGAAATGGAACAATTTACCGCGAATGATTTCTGATTCGTTGTTTGTGATGTTGTATTAGATGTGTAAATTGGAAAATGCTGAAAATATGTGCTGAAAATATGGAAAAAAATGTAATTATTCATATTTTGAAGCGAAAGCTAAAGATTTCATCTTTTAGAAATTTATTATTTTTGGAATATTGTAACAGAATTACTTTAGCAAGAGTGATGATGAAGTCCAGAAGTGCTGTAAAGTTCGTATCAGCAATGTTGTTGTCTGTTTTAATTACTTCATCGAATATTGCCATGCGCATTGCTTTCAGCATATCCACCTCCGACACATAGTATAACTCACGACATCTTAAATTTAACAATTAACAAACTCAATTCTTCACAGATCTTTTCAAAAGGAAAAACAGATTCATTTTCCTTGAAACTGATAAACAGAGAAATTATTCGAATGCATGCAACATTATAATTTTGATTATGCATACTGCGAAAAAAAAAATTAAGAAAAAAGAAACATTAAATGGAAAAAAAGTAATATAATCAATATTTTTACGCTGAACTGCTCCTAAGAATCTACACAGTTTAAATTCTGACACAAACAAAATACTCTCATCTAAATCGAAAAACTGCGCAACGTCACCCAAGTATAAAGTGGAAAAATTTTGGGAAAAAAAAATAATTGGCAACAGTTTCGTCCTTTTTAGAAAGAATTCAGTAAAACAAAAAAGAGGAATTCAACGGAAAAAAAAGCTGCCATTTCGTCAAATTGTAATAATAAGAAAGTCAGTACGAACTTATCGTGATATAACTCGCACTGCACGATATCCTGCCGCATGACAGGTGTTGGTACCGGTGAGACAGGAAGGACAGGCTGCTTTTGTATCGCATATGTTATCCTCATTACTTCTTGCAACGACTGCTGACCATATCTGGATTTAATCGCCAGAAAGTCAAGATGAAAATACACTTCGCAGAAAGTAATATGCATTTCATGCATATTTCGATGAGTTGTTTTTGAAAGCCCAAAGAAAACGCGCTCGAATTCGAGCCAATTTGAAAAATTGGGAAATTATTTCCAAATAACAAACTGAACAATCTTGTTACTTAAAAAAGGTCACTTTAAGGTTAACCTGCTTCGTTTGAAACAATTTTTATTCCTTACGCGTAGTTCTAGCCAACAATAGCTTATAATTTAATTAAACTGAAAAGTATGAAATGTAAAAAAGAAAAATTATAGTGGTAAAAATGGAATGAAAAGTTACGGATTTTGATAGATAGGACTGTCTTGATTACGTTTGAAAACCAAAACATATGGCAAATGTGTGATAGTGAATGACCGAGTAACAGGTGAAGAAACAACAATTCTCCTGGTAAGTACCGTTTTTTGGAGCGGAAACATATCCAGCAAGAATTCCACACCAACATTATCGAATTGCTCGAATAGCAAGACCAGAAATTGATGTGAATCATTCATTTGATTCCAAAAATTTCTCAATTCCATTGCACTAAAAGTAAACAAAATTGTCAGCTTTTTTTTTAGGAATCGACAGTTTTGATTTTCAAAAGAATTAATCGGCTAATCATTTCTATATCCTCTGACGAACAGCATCGCGTTCTTTTCCAGGAGTTCTGTGTTTGACAAGAAGTCTCATCGACATTTGGAAATGTTCAGACAATCTTAACAGTAGAAAATAGTGATTTTTGGCGTGAAATACGTTCATTACCTTAGCAACTTCTTACGATGCCCAAAATAACCTGTCAGTTGTCAAGTAGGTGAAGTCTGGCCAGTCTGCATAGCGAAACTGATTATATTCGTTTCGTATAACTTGTGTAAGTTGACTTTTCATATGCGGTAAAGAATGTCTTGGCTCTAGCTTAATTGCATCGGCACGGCTTCGGGCATGTCGAGGGTAATACTGTAATAGGGAGAGAGGTATATCTTATGTTTATTTATTAAATTTATTATTTGCTCAACAGATATGCAATTGCACATTTGGTTTTGGTTGATTTCTAGCGAAAATGAATTCAATTAAAAATGAAAGAAAAAAGAGAAAAAAAGCAAAAGGTAAAGAAAAAATTTTAAATAAAGAATATACATTAAAGAAGATAAAAAACTAAACGACATTAGTGAACTAATGAAGCCTGAACAGTTACAGATTTTGGAAATCCTCAATTCTGAACTCGATATGATCAATGTCACCCTTAATTTCTCGGCAATTATTCAATTGTCCTTTTAGAAAAGTTTTGCTGACTGAAACACCAACCAGGATCATAGGATATCCGATGATTCCCTCATCGCTACATATCTTCTGGTTGACAATATCAGCGCAGTTAATTGCAGCCACTGTTACAACATTTTCCCATGAGCGTACGGAGGATGCGAACTCCAAGTAAAATGGAGCAAAGGCGCGACAGTGTCCACACCTTTCATTAATAGTAAAGTTACAGATATCACAGTTTAGAAGTGATATTTCTTGGAAAAAAAACGCCTTAAAAAAAATAAATCTAAAGATTTCCGACAAAAAAAAAAAAAAAAAAAAGCAAAATCAATGGTTTATTTGTAATTATTGGATTATGAGATGGGAGATATGTTGGAAGATTACCAGTCAGCGTAGAATTCAACCACAAAGGCATGATCTTGCATGAATATAGTATCGTGAAAGGTGACAGCATCAAGCTGCATGACTGGATCATAACCTGGCCGATACAGGGTCGGATTAGTACCCATCGGTACATAATTCATATTCGAGACATAACCATTCGCTTTCTCAGATACGAATACTATCAGTAGTATTATCAACGAAAACATTCTTATGGAAAATCTGTAAAAAAAAAAAAATTTTTGCATATTAACTAATATAGTACTGTGATAGGATGGATATGGATGAATGGGACAGATGATAAGATAAGGGAATGATGAGAAGAAAATAGGGTCATAATCAATATATCGATGGCAGAAGATATCAGCTGCACAGCAGAGATGAATCAATCTCTCACAGTAAACAAAGCTATCTCTTTTTCGTACCGTTCACCCCTTTTCATCACCAAATGATCATACTTATTTACAAAGAAGTCATCTTCTATATCCCACATACC